GGGCAGGGCCTGGCTCCACACATTCCTCCCGCCGAGCTGGGCCGGAGCAGCCCCACGGCAGCGCTGGCCGCAGAGCCGCCCCCAGCGGGGCAGGGGCTCTTCTAGGAAGGCGAGGGACAGCCCGAGCGGCTCCTTCCCAGAAGGGCCGGCCGGGCTCTCGGCCACCAGCTGCAGCACGTAGGGAGGGTCCTGCCCGTCCCCAGGGGCCAGGCTGGGTGCGTGGGAGCGCAGCGCCCCAGCACCGACAGACCCGCTGGGGGAGGGACCCGCCTCCCGCCCGCGCTCCTCCCGGACACGGGGCCAGCGAGACGCTGCCATGGCCACCGAGTCCAGCATCGACTCTCCCTTCACCGCACCGAGGCGGGCGCAGAGCTTCGGGCGCACGCAGCGCTCCCTGCAGCAGCGATCTGAGCAGACGGGCACCTGCCGCCTCGTGGCATGGCCATGGACGGGGACAGCGGGTACAGCACGGTGAGCCGCCCCAGCAAGGCCCGGGAGCCCACGTTACAGACGGAGGAGTCGGACCCCAGCCCACACCGTGCTCCTCCCCAGGCAGACATGTGGGGCTGGCAGGAGGGGCAGGGCCCGCACAGCCCAGCTGCCGTGGGAAGGAGACCACTCGGCACCGGGGGGTCCCTAAAAAAGTGCTTTATTTGAGTACAGAGGGGACCAGTTGTACCACGAGTCTTCCCAAGCACCGGGCCGGGCCCCTCTGCCTGGCCCCTTCCAGTCCCTCTCCAGGTCTCAACCTGTCCCTGGCCGGCGCGCAGACACAGCTCAGCCCCGCGCCCTCGGCCCGCGCGGCAGTGCCGCTACTCCGTCACCTCGGGGACAACGCTCACCAGCAACGTGTCGTAGCCACGCCGCACCAGCAAGGCCAGGCTCTGCTGCGTCCGCACGGCCTCGTAGACGTCCTCAGCACGGCGTGATGCCTGCCCATTGATCTCCAGCACAACGTCGCCCGCCTTCAGCCCTGCCCTGTGGGGAGAACGAAGACAGCAGCGCACCGTGGGTGAAGCAGGCCCTCAGCCCATCTGCCCAGCACCAGGAGGAGCCGGGCTCTACGGGGGGCTCAGGCCAACAGGATGCCAAGCCTGGGCAAGGGTCACCAGTTGGTTTCTGCTGCAGAGTGACGGCCACGGGGCCCAAGCCCTGTGGCTCTGGAACCAGACTAAACGCATCCCATCCTGGCTCATGCCACCCCCTGAGGTGCAGGGCAGCACTTACTGATGGGCCGGGGAGCCGATGATCACCTTGTGGATTAGCACTCCGTAGGAGACATCGGGGAAGCTGGGATCACGCAGCTTCAGCTCAGCCAGGATGCTGCCGAGGGAAAACCAGCATCAGGTAAGGAGCTGGGAGCAGAGCAGGGCTCCCACCCCACCACGGCTGAGCAGGCTTGGAGACGGCAGTGCAGAATCTCGCCTCCTGCATCCCAGCACACTGCTGAGCAGGAGCAACCCGATGCAAACCCCAGGGCACCCAAACAGCACCATCTTCCTGTTGAAAACTAGGGGACAACATCCCTAACTGTGTCAGGGAGAGCTGGGAACTACCGGAGGGGTTCATACTTTGCATGAAGAACCAACCCTGGATGTCCCTCATGTAACACCCCGGCCAGCAGCACCCCCCAGCAGTGGTTTCCCATAAAACCTGTCCCCAGTAACCAGCATCTCTTTCTTTTGCTGTTGTCAGGGTCCTTTGCTCAGTCCCTGCTCATTCTGCACTCCAAGGTGACCGCGGAGGGCTCTGCCAGCCAGGGCCTGTCTCTTCCCGTGGCTCTCTGTGGCCATGATGAGGGAACCCCCGAGCTCCACCACAGCTCAAAGCCACGGGGCAAAGGCTGGTGCCTCAGGACACTCCTGCCTGACAATCTGCTGTGGGACCAGGACACCGAGGAATTCGTACCCCACACGGAGCTTCGGCTTCCCCCCACGCCAGAGCAAGGTTCCAGCCTTTAAAACGAGCTTGTCCAGCTGGCGCGAGCAGCTGGCTCCGAGTGAGCCGCCACCGGCTGGAAGAGCTGCCCAGCACCGGGCACAAACACGACAGGTTTGGAGCCGGATGGTTTCCCAGGAGAGCTGGAGCCGGACCCGCTTCCAGGCCACGTGCTCTTCCCTGCACACATGTTTGGGCTCCCACATCCCCAAGTTCTGCCGAGTACCAGCACCATCTGCTGGGTGTCTGCTGGGCACCCAGCAGCATTCCTCCATGCCCCAATGGCCCCAATCTCGGGGGCACAGAGCATCTGCTCCTCTGTGCCCAAGGCAGGAACCCCAGAGGCTGTTTGAGGTGCCCAAGGGTGCAGGCAGCCCCCACACCCCGCAACACACCGCAGCCACGAGAGCTTTCGGAAGGGCAAAGCACAGTCCCAGGGGTGCTCACGGCCCTGAGCAGGGCCAAGCCTGACTAAGGCTCACGGCCCTGATCGGACCCAGGCGGGTTGTGTGTCTGCAGTCCCTCTGCTGACCAGAGCACTTCTTGAGAGGTAACACAGGGCCCTTCCCAAGCCAGTGCCGTGAGGGTGAAGTGTCTCAGACCCACACAGAGTCCTTCTCTTCCCTGTTGCCAGTGCTGTCCTGGTCAGCACCACGACAACTTCTCTCCAGAGCAGTAGCCAGCTCCCCAGGAGCCTCACACCACCCCAGGCTGGCAGCCACTCTGTGTGTGCCAGCCACTCTCCTGCCTGTCCACCATCTCCCTCAGTCAACCATTTCTTATTCTGAAAGTCCCATATCCTAAAACTGTTTCTGCCTCACAGCAATTCACAGGGCAGATCCCTCCTCCCAGAGCATAACTTGCCCAACTGCTTCACCACAACTCTCAGCTGGCACGTTGAGTATCTCCTCACTACACAACATTTCTGGTGGTTTTTCATTCAGGCTGTGCTGCAAAGGCTCTTTATGAAACTCCTCCCAGTGACAATTACAGACTGATCTGCCACTCTGGGGGGTGGATTCAGGGACTTTTTATCTGCTTACAGATTCTTCCACAAGTGTAGAAACTGGCAAGATTCTTATTTACCTCTGACACAGCCTAGAGTCTAAACACAACACGAACACAAAGATTTGAGAGCGAGTGCTTAAGCTGTGAAGACAATCCTCCCCAGAACAGGTGCTCTGTGAGGGCCCATCACAGTCGTCATGCCCCGACCAGACCCGTCTGTGGCCCCCGACCTCCCAACACGTACCTCGGTGTCAGAGTCAGCATCATCACCCCTATGTAGCGGCGCTTTGTCTCTGTGTTGCCAAACCAAGAGCCTGTCGAGCAAAAAGACGACAGATGACAAGGCTGAAGGCAGATGTGCACAGCCACAAAGCCCACACGCCTCAGGGCAGACACTGTGCCCAGGGAGTCGTTCAGATTCCCAACCAACAGCTTGTTCTGGTCCCCTTTAGCAGTTAGAGCTCTACAGGCACTGCACACTGTGCTTTCCTGGTTTGAGCTGTCACTGTTCTGACTGAATCACTCCATAGTGTCAATGTGACAACCAGATAGCAAGAGTCTGCATTAAACACATGATCACAAACACAAAGGAACAAAAAAGAGGCAACGTTCCACAGGACTAAATTAACCACCAGCAGAATCCTGCACCTGCATCTCCACTGGTACCCACAAGGCTAAGTAGCCCTGTTTCCAGGTCATCCTTTACCTTTCTGAACACCAACAAACAGTCCACTCATTTTCCATACGTTGAGATCTAATAAGTAGCAACGGATATAAAAAAAAAAAATCCTCGCCTACTCCTGGTGACTTAAGTGCAAGCTACTTGGGACACTCTCAAAGTCTTTACTGGCAGCAGATGCAGGCCAGCGTCCTCCCTGTGGTCTGTTAGGCCCCTGTGGGCAGGGAAGAAGCAGCAGAGCCTTCCCACGGCAGGGAGAGCTTCATGCCAGATGGGAGAACCTTCTTACCCCCGAAGACTCTGAGTCCTGCTCTGCTGGGCCTGCTCTCAGAAGGGCCTGGAGCCCAGCTGTGCCAGAGCTTCCCTCCTTCATCCTCTTCCCCCCATATCCAAACAAGGAAGGACCCCACTCACTTTTGCGCTGCTCCTCCTTTTGCAGGAACTTCCGCAGCCGGTCTGAGGGGATAGCAAAAGAGATGCCCGAGGTCACCTTCATCGTGTTCACCCCAATCACTTCACCATCCTGCATGGAAAAGGATGCTGAGCTGTCCTGCGTCACCGTGGAGACAGTCTGGAGTCCTGCCTGCACAGCCAGCCCTGCCCAGCCCCAGCTCCTGTGGCCCAGCCCCTGCTCCCGTGGCCTGGCCAAGGCTGTGCAGGGTCCGCTCCCGCCGGCACAGCCCAGGCAGCCCTGGCAGCCCCGTCCAGGCCGGCAGTGCCAGCGCAGGGCTCAGCTCCACCGCACCAGGGTCCCGGCGGCTCAGGCTCCCCAGAACAGAGGCTGCACAGAGCTCCCACGCTGGGCCGACCCCTGCTCCTCCTCACAGGGGTCTGGGAGCACATGCAGTCCCCCCACCCCCCTCCCTCCTGGCAGCTGCCGCGTGCACAAATGCCCCCACCAAGGGGCACAGACCAAAGGGCAGGTGGCACATCCCTGCCCTGCCAGCCAGGGTGCGAGCAGCAGCACTCACCAAGTTGACGAGGGGGCCCCCGGAGTTCCCAAACTGCAGCAGAGGAGAAAGCAGTAAACTGGCCATGAAAGCAACATCCTGGTGCAGCAGGACCCACCGCAGGGAGGCAGAGTCCAGACAACAGGGCCAGGCCAACAAACGCAGCCCACACCCAGCCAGAATCCCTTCACCTCCCAGCGCTCTGTGTCTCAGCCTCCTGCGACCTCAGGGCACCCCCAGCCCCTGCCCAGGTCCCCCCGTGCCAGCTCAGGCCGGCGGGATGCAGTGCCAGCCCCCCTTACGTCAATCGCGGCATCGGTCTGGATGTACTCCATGTCGGAGGCGGCCAGGCCCAGCTCCCGGCTGCCCCGCTGCGCAGAGCTGACGATGCCAGAGGTGATGGTGTTCTGCAGAGCGAACGGGCTGCCCATGGCCACCACGAACTCTCCCTGCCGCACCTCCGAGGAGTGCCCGAGGGGCAGGGTGGGCAGCGGGTGCTGGAAGAGAGGAGGAGGAGGGTGAGCAGATGGGGCAGGGGGACAAGGGAGCTTCTCGGTGACCACAAGGCACACCTTAGGCTTGATCTTGATGGTAGCGATGTCTGCAACCTGGTCCACGTCCTGTACCACGGCGTCGTACTGCTCGCCGCTGGCCAGCTTCACCCGCACGCGCCGCCGGTTCGCCACCACGTGGGCATTGGTCACAATGAGCCCATCCGGGGACACCAGGAACCCAGAGCCGTTGGAGATGGGCACATCACGGCCCGAAAAGGGGTGCCTGCAAGGCGTGCGCAGGGCAACGGTTGGACTAGGTGATCTTCAAGGTCTTTTCCAACCGAGATGATTCTGTGATGGGCAGGGAGAGGGGGCAGGGAGCTGAGGGGGGGACTCTGGGGAGGGCAGGCAGGGGCCCTGCAGACTGGGTGGCCCAGACTGGGAAGCGAGAGAAGAAGCAGGGGACAGTGAGGGTGTCTGGGCACCAGCGTGATGGGGGAGACTCCTTCACTTCCCCATCTCAGGAGTCCACACTACGAACACACACGCAACAGGGGAACAAGCAGGAAGAATCAGGAGTCTGGGCACAATGCAAAGGTAGGATCCAGCTGGGGCTACAGACATGGTGGGAAGCTCACGTGAGCGGAGAGCTGCAACAGCTGGCGCGGGCGCTTTGGGAAAGAGCACAAGGAGGAGGGTCGTGATCTGCACAAACAGCCTGAACACGCAGAGCCTCGGCTGGGGCTGGTCACAACCACCTGGGAGGTGATGGGTACATCTTCATCGGAGAGCCAGAGGAGGACTCACAATTGCAGACCTTGGTCCCGTGGGGGACAACAGCCACCCCCCCAGCAGGAATGCTGGTGTCGAGTGGGGCAAGGGGCCCAGTGACACAGAACACAGAGGGCTGAGGCGATCCGCACCTTTTTGCCTTGTTCCTCCCAAGTCCCTGTGCCCTGAGGCAGAGCCTGTGGGAATGCAGCATTACACAGAGGATCAAGGGAGGGATTGCTGAAGCCAACGGGATATGCACAACTCCACAGCACTGCAGGATACACAGGAAGGGCTGGCTGATGCCCCTGTGAGTGCTCAGAGGTCACAGCAGTGGTAAAAGGGGGCTCCTGAGGGCTGGAAGAACAAACATCCCACCAGCCTGCAAGATTGCCAGGAAAGAGGCTCCTGAAAACTGCTGGACAGCCAGCTTCGCCCTTGTCTCTGGGGAAGTTATGGAGCAAATGCCCCCAGAAACCACCTCCCGACAGCACTCAAGGAGGTGACTGGGAGCAGCCAGCACCAACTTACTAATGGCAAATCATGGTTGTTTAAGTTAAGCAGGATCTCAGCACAGCCCCTTCTAGCCACACAGGTGACACTTGGGCTGATAATCAAATAAAGTGAAGGGAAAATTGTCTGGACCACCCAAAGTCCAGCTGGTGGCCAGCAGGCCTCAGGGACAGGGCACTGCCATTTAATGCCTTTCATGTTCATGAAGGGACAGGACACTGCACACACTCAGCAGGCCCCACTGGTGACTGGAAGGAGCGGGCAACGATCTCAAGGGCAGCGTTACTATTCAGAGGTGCCTTGACAGGCTAGAGATGCAGGATGGGAAGAATGTTATGGAGTTCAAAGGTAAACACAAGGTTGTGCTCCTGGGACAGAATAATCCTGCACCACAGGGCAGCCTAGGGCCAATGCCTAGAAGACAGCTTTGCTGAAATGGTCCTGGAGGACAAGGAAGTGGCCGTGCAGCAGCGGGAGGTCCCCGAGGCGAAGGCCGGCTGCATGCTGACTGCGTGCGCGGGCAGCAGGTGAGGGAACAGATCCGTCCCTCCTGCAGCACCTGGGGGACCCCACCTGGATGCCGCGCCCGGTTCAGGCTGCCTGGGACACGAGATGGGGCAGCCGCGGGAGAGGACAGCGGAGGCCCCGGTGGCCAGGGAGCTGCACCGTGCAGGGAGGCTGAGGGAGGGGGGCTGTGCAGCCGGGAGGACGGGGAGGGCCAAGGGATCCCTCCCCGGCGGATGATGGGGCCAGACCCTTCCCGGAGGGGCAGGATGGGAGGAGACAGGACAAGGTCAAGAGGGAAACTTCCCCATCAGGTAGCGGGGGGCTGTGGACCGGGCCAGGGGCGGCCGCCCGGTGCCGGTACCTGCCCACGATCTCCACGTAGACCAGCGCGGGCGCCGTCTTCTCCACCACATCG